TCTGATCACAAGCATGTGTCTGCCATGAAGTTAAAGATAAAAATGTATGATATGCCCACCAAAAACTTTTGAAAACTTATCATTGATGAGTGAATAGGTGACATAAGGTTTAGTAGAATGGAAAAAAAAAAGAGGATTTGAAGTACTTATCATAAATCATACTTGACAATGCCCATAAAGATTTGTATAGGAAAAATGAATACAACAGGCTTTGTTTATGACAAAGTAGTTAGTTTATCACAAAACTCCTGTTACTTGAAAGGAAGTTAAATCCTAGTTTACTCCCTTTTTATTTTATGCATTGCCACTTCTCTTAACTTAACACGATAAAAAAATCCCAGTAGAACTGGTAAACGAGAAGGGATTTTGGGATGTTACATAAATCCTCTCCGCTGACTTTCCCTCTTTCCTTTTTTTCTTTGCTGGCAGTACCCTACCTTTATCAACACACATATTTAAAACTTTAGTAGTGTTGCCCCCACGTTTTTCTCACACTCACTTTGTTACTTTTTACTGGTAGCACACATCTGAGGGAAAAGCTCTTCTCCACCATATACTTTTGTGTTATCAAAGCACAGATCTAAAGTTTTTGCTGAGCATCTCCAGGCCATACTAAGGGTCTCACTTGCTTTCTCCCTCGAGCCCAATGTGGCTGAGCTATGTCAGAGGAAATGCTACCAGGTCTCTGGCAGCAAGGTGTAGGTAAAAGAAGCTTATGTTCTGAAAAACCGTCCAGGTCCTGAATTGCGACCAAAACAGATTAAAGAAGATCAGATTAGTTGCACTTTTTCTTTAAATACATGAAACCTTTCTCTCTTTTTATTTTTGAACAGTTGATGCTGCCCAGGTTCACCCATTCTCAACCTCCTGGTATTTTCAGTTTGAAACCAAAGTTCTTGAGACATTTCTATGAAATCTTTGTAATATTATTTCCACAATATCAGAATCATGAGGACATGTGTCCATATTGAGGGTGTGACAGTGTGACATAGGTCATAACTGAACATCCCCCCCCCACAAAAACATGCCTCTAAAAATTGGGATAAGATGAGAAGAATTAATTCTAAAAATTGAAGGAACATTTTCAGAGTGAAGGAATATCACACTTACTTAATAAACTTAATTTAATCACAAAGCTCATTCAGCTCACAGCTCAAACTTTTATTCAACAAAGTTTATAATTTGACTTGAGTCTACATGTCAACCAAAGGTAACAATGGAAGTTCAATAAAAAAATAACACCCCCCCCCCCCAAAAAAAAAGGGCTGATTTCTTTCAGATCGAAGGCTCACACAGCTGCACAACGTCTCCCCAGATCAGCAAATCACACAGTATTGCAGCTCGTTAAGTGCATACTGATTTCAAAATTTTTTTCCGTGTTTAGTGACTACAACGTAAAATGCCGATTAGCAACTCAGCGAACTGAGGTGAAAAAGTTATCTACCTGTCCCAAAAACACAGCTTCCTTTTCAGTAAGGTGGGAATTGAATCTACAACCTTTTTAGTGAAGGTTTGAACATTTATTGCTTGTCAAGGGTACAAAAATACCAACAAAGCATACCCCCTCCCAAAAACCCCCCAACAAAAACACACAAACACACACACGAATGCATGCACACACACACAGACATGCACATGCACACACAGACACAAAGAAATGGGCAAACACATACTTTCTTCTCCATACAAACAAGCCTCCCTACAACCTTTCGAGTGAAAGTTTAAAAATATATCGGTTGTCAAGGGCAACAAAGCACTTCCCACTCTCACTCTCCCCCAACACACACACACACACACACACACACACACACACACACACACACATACACACACACAAAGAAATGTGCAAACACTAGAAGGACAAAATCTCCTCCCCTCAACCCACGTTTCACTCATTCTTCTTCATCTGGTCAGTCTTGGTGCTGGGCGTGCGTGGGTAGAGCTTCTTCTTCATGTTCTGCAAGTCATTGTAGAGGTTCCTGTGGAGGATCTGTGAGGCACAGATCAGGCCCATCATCAGGGCAGAGGAGAAGCCGCAGGTCATGGTGTCTTGGCCTACAGGGGCAGGAAAAAAAGGGGTTGGAGTTTGAGTTTGAGTGATGAGAAGCACACTGACACAATAATCGTCTGGTTTAAAAGGGCAGTAAAGCGGATTTGATTTTCAGTTTGAGTAAAGAGAAGCACATCAACACAATAATGATCTGACTTAAAAGGGCAGAAAAAAAGGGTTTGATTATGTTTCAGTAATGAGAAACACATCAACACAATAATGATCTGACTTAAAAGGGTAGAAGAAAAAAAAGGGTTTGATTATGTTTCAGTAATGAGAAACACATCAACACAATAATGATCTGACTTAAAAGGGTAGAAGAAAAAAAAGGGTTTGATTATGTTTCAGTAATGAGAAGCACGTCAACACAATAATGATCTGACTTAAAAGGGCAGAAAAAAAGGGTTTGATTATGTTTCAGTAATGAGAAACACATCAACACAATAATGATCTGACTTAAAAGGGCAGAAAAAAAGGGTTTGATTATGTTTCAGTAATGAGAAGCACATCAACACAATAATCGTCAGACCTAAAAAGGTAGGAAAGGAGGATTTGAGTTTGAGTTTAGATTTTAAAGAAGCACATCGACATAATAACCATCATTAAGTGCAAGGAAGAAGCAAGAGAGATAGGAAGAAACAACAGAGGGAAAGAAAAGAAGTAGGACCTACCAGTGGTGCCCTCTTACCACCCGCCGGAAGAGGGAAATCATGATAGATAAATAGAAGATCGACAGCACCACACCCACTTGTCAAAGTCATAGGAGTCTCCCCCAACGGGGGATAGAAGAACAACATTTTTTATAAAGGGCAACAATGGTCAATATTTCCCTCATGGATTTTACTGAAAAACATTGATCAAAGGCACAATAAATGTAAATTTGCTGTTTCCAAGGACACTTAAACTAAAGAAGTCACTAAACTTTGTAAGCCATTTCCTCGCTAATTTCTCGCAAAAATCTCAACTTCTGATAAAGATACATGGGTATTTTATTCACCAAAAGCCAGACAAATGAATAAGCATTGAGATTATACCAGAACCCCATATGCCCAAAAATTGACGGGCGCCTGATTCCACTTGTCATGACACAAAATATTTCTGCATTCTGCCGACTCTGCTATGTGCATGCTAGACTACAATGTCTTTCAATCTTTTCACATGGTTTAAAATTTCAACTGAAACAAAATAAGGAAGAAAAACCTGTGAGGTAGAGTCCAGGAATGTCTGTGTCCGGCCTCAGTTTGCTGGCCACGTCGGCGGTAAAACGAGCTTTGCCCTGGTCAAGTCCGTACATCTCACCCTCAGGGCAAGCGAGGTAGTGGCTGTTGGTCACTGGGGTACCCACCTCCATGTAGACACGCTGAAGCAAACAATATCAAACAATCATCAGTGACTCTGATAGAAATAAGTAGGAATTTAACTGGCTGACACAGACAAAGTTAACACATCACTGGCTAAGACAGACAAAGTTAACACATCACTGGTTGAGAAAGACAAAGTTAACACATCACTTGTTAATATAGACAAAGTTAACACACCTTTGGTTGAGAGTCAAAAGATAACACATCACCCTCGGCTGAGCCAAAACGTGTCACTTTCTCTGGGGGGTATGGGTTTAACTCCCACTTTACATTGTAAGGTCATTTAAAAGACCCGACCTCTGAATTTAACACAAATCTCCGATAGGACCCAGCCAAGAGTGAGGAGAGCCTAAAAAATGTGGCATCAGTGTCCTATATATCGCAACCGTAAGGTCGTGGGTTCGATTCCGTCAGAGGCCTAATATTGTATCCTTGTGGAGAGACACTATAAAAAAATTTTGCTCTATTTACACAGGTAGGAGTGGGTACCTGGATATAGAGAGCGAAAGAACTCATCAGTTCGAGGTGAGCTGCTTGCACTGTTGGCTTCCCGGGAAGCCGAGAATGCTTCAGAGTGTTTTACGGTCTGCTGAGGTAATAATATAGTGTAAAGAGAACAAAACTTGCTGTTGAGTGGGGATACGCACTATACAAATGTTATTTATTATTAACCCTTAAAACCCTGAATTCTTTTTTTTCATACCTCCTAGAATCCTGAATTAAAATTGAGATACTAAAAAAAATTAGGTTGGTTCATTATTTTGTTTACTGTGTCTTTAATTGTTGTTGGATTTTACTGAAGTTTGAAAATGTTATTTATATATGAATGCACAGTCTGAACAAAAGGGGAAAAGATTAAAACACTGGTTTTTAGGACCAACTCTATGAGTTAAGTCTTGTGTGTGATCCCCGACTCCACTTCAGTCAAAGTATCATTAGACCCAGCCGTAGATCTTGCCTCTGGTAGCTTTAGTGGTGATCCCCTGCCAATTCCACTATCGTCAAAATCATCATCCATGTTATGCGGAACATTGCAATCATCTTCAACAGTCATATTTATTGATATATCTGACTGGGAGATCATTATTGGGGTCTGGTTAGGATAAAATATGTCAAAGATTTAGTGGCCTGAAGGGTCTGGCAGCGAAAAGTGACTAATTTTTCTTAAAAACTCGCAAAATTTCCAAACTTTCGGTGTAGAACTGCTCTCATGACATTATTGGTACTTTCTGCTCGCGACAGAGTCATCTGGAGTTACGTCCCCTGTTTCTAGCACTGGGAATTAAACGATAAAGTCGACCAGCGGTTACCAGCGGTTTAGGAAAATACGGCGTCAGCGGTTACCAGCGGTAAAGGGTTTTAAGGGTTAATATCATTATTATTATCAAAACTACTAAAACAATCCATGGTCACCTATCACATAACATATAGTCGTACTTCCCACCTTTCCTTCCAGCTGGGGGAAAATGTCCACACACTGTTGCCACAAGCGTCGACCAATCACATCTTTGATACCTTCATAACGCTCCCCACGGTGGCGCAGTTTCTCGTCCTTCCACTCCTTGAACCACTCCCAGTTGGCCAAGGTGATGACTAAGACTGACGACTTGCCTGACAAGTGAAATGTGAATAAGGATATAAATCATAATATAATGGAGTGCACTGATACCAACAGGTGCTTTTTATGAAACTATGAAACATTATAACTCTAGCCCCCCCCCCCAAAAAAAAGAGAGAGAGAGACAGAGAGACAGAGAGACAGAGAGACAGAGAGAGAGAGAGAGAGAGAGAGAGAAGAAATTAGGGTTGAATAATCGTTTAATGAAAATAAAAATACTATCTCTGACCAGGGATATATTAGTAGATTAAATGGTTCACAGAGAAACGAAGAAAAAAAAGGTATCAGAAAGATGACAGAGGCAGTCTATAAACAGCCAGCAAACTGCACAACCACTGAAAATGGGAGATTATTATTAAGGCCACAAGATCAGTTCAAACTACCACAACAGGCCGTATGTGGTAAAAAGTGATCAGATTGGTAGATTTTAGTTTTTTTAGAAAGAGAAAGATCAACTGAAAACGGTCATTAAGTACTGGGAAAAACAAAGGCAGAAATAGTGATCAGACTGGTTCAGTTAAGTTTTTTTTTAAAAAGAGAAAAAGATCAACCAAAAAAGGTCATGAAGTACAAGGGAAAAACCAATACAGAAATGCAGAAATAATAGAAGGATGTAGACTTACCAGTGGCACCCCCCAACCACCCCCTGAGATTCGCAAATGTTCCACTAGCGAGGACATAAGAAGAGGCTCACCTGGGTATTTGGCCTCGTACTCGGGGTCTTTGGCAGACGGCACGGAGATGTAGCCAAAGGGAATCTCTGCGTCCTCCAAATCCTCGGCCTTGAGTGACAGAAACTCTGACAAAGTCTTGTTGATGTCCAGACTGAGAAAAAGAACAAAACAGTACTGAATTTTGCTTTCATTTGATTCTGTTAGTTTCCATATCTGGAAGAAAAAATATTCATTTCTTTAAGAAAGTTTTCAGCCCTGTTTGTTAATCTAGTTAAACATAAATTCATCGCTGTGGGGTCACGATTGATTTTTTACACAGATCTTCAATCCGTACTCTTTATTACTATATATCATTGGCCACATGATACTATGTCACAAGCCCTAAAACCAAAATTTTTTAGGTGAGAGAAAAAACTGTTTCATTCTTTAAAGAATTGAACGGACACTTCGAAATTGATAATAAAAGAAGGGAAAGGCATTATTGATTATTTGATATAAGCCATTTTGTGAAAAGGTGTTTTTGTAATGAGACAATGGCTAGGCACATTGTGCGATCCCTTTTTTCCTCTGATACAATGTATTAACTCTCGCGAACTGAAGTTTATTACATCCACAGTGTGGTTTGCTAGAGGTAAATTTATCCTACAGCTTATCACAGCTCTCTTAGGTATTATTGATAGTTTCTATGTAAATGATAAAACATAAAATGTCAGACAAGAAATAGAAAAGGTTCTAGTAGAAACTGTTTTACGGGTTTATTTATTGCCAAACTGCCCTCTTAACAACTTTTAGTACATTCCTACATATAAAAAGTATCCAAATGAGGACATATTCTTGCAATTGCTTCGAAGTATTACTGGAAATATAGTTATTCCAAATAATTTATTGAATACGTTACAATACTTTGAAAAATAAGTGTCTCATTTCACCTTCGTATTGTCACATTTATTCATCACACACACACAACACACACACATATTCTCACAATCAAATATAATTATTTCAAAATACTTTTATAAATCAATGCTCTAAGGTGTCATTAAAAAGCATGGGCCTCAGCTGGAATTACTGATTTCAACTCCTGTAAATGTTGGTATTTTGTACTAGAGTTACGTCTTCTTTGTAAGTGTAGTGCAAGGGCAGTGGTGCTTGATGGCATGTGGTTGCGGGGTTTGGGCATGTCTTGCCAGTCGTCACAGAAAACGAGCTTGTACTGAATGTCCCCTTGTGGGGAATAGCGGAGAGCTCATACGTCAACCACTTTTGTGTCCCCGGCTTTTCTTCCTGGTCGAATGGTTGAGTATTCTTATACTGATGAACATTTTCAGAAGAACGTTAAGTCTAGGTGTTTGACTTCGTAGGGTCGAGGGTCTTCACGCGCCAGTTTGAAGACATTAACATAGTCAGAAAGTACATGTATAAGAGTGTTTTGGGGATCGTTCAATGACGCTGTGAATACTATCGACTCACATTCGGGTGTGCCCCTTTGTGAGATATTTCTGTTCTATTGTGATATTGAGCTCCTGAGCAAGAGCTGAGATGACACTGGCAAAGGTGATGTTTTTATTTTGTTAAAGGCATCCATCACTGTATAGTATTATTCTGCCATAGGTCTCGGCAAGGGGTCGTATATAGTTTGCGATGCAAGATGAAAATTCGTTAGAAGTTAGTCCAGTTTCCCCCTCATGCCAGACATAACATTTCACGTCCCGGGTTGCCATATTGTATACAGCAAAGTTACTAATGGCAAGCTTTGTTCTATAGTGCAGAGCAGAGGCCTTCAGCATGGAATGGGTTTCAACATTGAAGATCCGTTCAGACAAAGCACACTCTGTCTGATGGTTCATTTGTTTGGGTCTCAAGGGCTATCTTTTTACCCATGTCTTTCTCTTGCCTTGCTGCCTCTTTGCTTTCTTCATGAACTACCCACACAATCTTCTGTTACGTTGCCTGTTTGGTACCTGACGCAACTGTCACATTGGTCTTTTTTTGGCTGGAAAAACGCTGAATTGGTTTGGTTGAACTCTTTCACGAATAGTTCGAGCCCCACAGAATTTTTCCCCCTTTCAGCACATTTTGTTACATAAAGTCTGTATACATCGGTCAAACTTTTGAACGTTGGTTTCAAATAAAACTTCGAGGAACTTTTGGAACTTTTGGAAGGCAATGTAGAAATTGTTCATTCAAGAATATTTTGGACTCTGCTGCTTTGTCAAAATATGAATTAGACCTCAATGATTCTTATTTCCTTTCGGTCGATTTGGCAAATACATCACGGATAAATCTCGTCACTAAGCACAGGGTATTGCAGATCATAGTCCTACACACTTCGACCATGACTCCATCATGCTTTAAAAAGTACCTAGCTCAGCATCATGATTCCCTGCAGCAGTTTTAAAAGTGTAATAAATTATTACCCTTTTGTCTACACCGGCTGGTCCATATGTGTGCATATTTTTTTCGGCACATCTAAGAGACAAGATCATAGCTGTCTCCTAGATGCAGACTTTTGTCTGGGCAGGCACCTTTAGGTGGACCCGCCACTAGACCGCGTGGCCACACGGGTGGTCATAAAGCACTCATTTAGTCTGTGCTGCCCAGAAGAGCGTAGCTTGTGATCTTGGAACACAGGTAATTTGACAGCTTGCGGACATAGCACATTGTGTTTTCTTGCTTTTTTTTCAACATTTAGAATTTGAATTTCGACCAAATATTTCTGAGTACATGCAACCGATACCACAGAATAAGAAATAGCAATTTTTATAAAAATCAAAATTTTTAGGTTGTGACATTGTATCATGTGGCCGACGATATATGCGTTTCTATTTCATTGACAACCCCCCCCCCCACCCCGACATAGTTAAGATCTTTTAGGATGCAACCTTCCAATCCTACCTGTGAGTCTCAACCTGGGCTAAGAGGGATATATCCCCCAAAAAAGACTAAGATACTCAATAAAAATGTTCTCTCCATTTGGGAATCGAACTAAAGTCTCTTGTGTGTGACTGGGAAGCGCCTAACCACTACATCACAAACACCAGTACACTTACGTGTTATAGAGCCAGTAGTTTCCAGCAGGCAGATTCAACTCTTTGGAGGTTCCTTCTACACCCATGAATGCCGTGATAAAGGAGAAGCTAGGACCAATCTTCTCAATGAGTGGGTAGATACCTGCAGGAAAAACACACACACAGATATGTACATCTATACACACCATACACATACATACATGCATGTGAAAACGCTTGAAACTAAACTACTCATGTCTATCCCTCAGAAGAGTGATACACCATTTCCTTGAAAAAACCTTACACTCAGGCCTAATGGCATAATCTACTTGGTGTGGTCTGGCATTGACTACAACTAACGGGAGCAGAGAGCTCATGTAAACTTCAGAGATTTCACTGCACCAGCAAGAACAAGAAATGTTTTACAGAGAAAACCACAGCCAAAGGTGAGGCCTATTGACAAAATGAGTTGCTTTTTGGATTTTAGCCATATGGACATAGGTTATAAATAAGTCATATTTATAGGTTTAGTTTGTCTAATTTATTAGTCAGAATTGATAATTCATGGTAAAATAATGTGAAGAAAGTGGCAGCAGTTGAAAATCTTCAAATCTGATCCTTGAGTTGATCTTTGGCCGTTATCTCCATTCATGGATTGTAAGAAGCAACTCATTTTGTCAGCACGCTTCACAAATATCTTTTGTTAACAAACTATTCACACCAACTTACTCGTATTCATGAACAAGCCACTCTGTAACAAGGAATATGAAGAAAGACTGGTGCAATCATGTCTAAAAAATCAAGACACATGAAGCTAAATTGCAGAAGACACAGAGTCGGCATGACAAAGGCTATTTTTTTTTTTTTCGAAAGTAGACCATACTTAAGTATTGGTCAGCAGCAGAATAATTTTCGTTTTAGTAAGTTTTACCGCACTTGCAATACAAGTAGGTCATATAAGTGCCAAAGATTAAAAGTGTCACTAGATAGTAGCATGCAAATAAAAGAAGGAGGAGAGATAAGGGCTTAAATGTGTGATAGGAAAGAAGTAAACCACACCAGAACCCCCACAAATCACCCACAAGCATAATAACCAGAAGCAGCAGACCACAACAGACCACCCACCAGCCACACACAAACATAAGATAAAATTAACCACGATTTAAAAAGAAATCAAAGAAACAACATCGTATTAAGATGGAAACACAGAACATCCTATACTATTACTATGACGTATGACTTACATGACTTCTGAGCAATTTCTTGGGGCAGCAGCGTCTTGAAGGTGTTCACAGCGCCTGCATCTGAGATGATGTATCTGGCGTGCAGATCAACCTCCGACTTACCGCCCACCCTTACACCTGGCAGACAGAGGTCAGAGGTCACAATGCTAGGTTCTCTTGTGTTTGTTTTTCTCTTTTATGTATCGACAAATTCAACAATTCTTAATTAATTTTTTTTGGGGGGTGGGGGGGGGGGGGTGTTTGGGAGGGCGGAGTGAAGGAGGTTAGCAATGTATGAACCTTTATTTAAAACTTCCCTCTCAGAACATACTACTTTTGTTTTGTAAATGTGTTTTATTGCATTTACAACACAATTAGGTCATATAAGTGCCGAGGATTAAAGATATTACAAGAGAAGAACAAAAGAAAAAAAAAGGAGAGATTTAGGATGACAGATGTTTGATAGGAAAGAAAGAGCCAATCACATAAGGGCACCCGTCAACCACTCACCTCCCAAGAATATTCCAGGACACCAACAATTAATTAACAGAGAGAGCAGTTCGGTGAGGAACCCCCCCTCCCCCCCACCCCTAAAAAAAAGACCAAAAAAAGTGTTTGTGCTTTGGCCTGGCTAATCAGTTAGGTAAATGGGGGAGTTTACTGAGATCATTTCATTAACTCATTCAGAGCTACGGACGAGAATACTCGAGAAACCTGGGCCCCGCCCTCATACTAGCGACGAGTATTCTCGCATTCTGCCTTGCTATCTTTATAGAAAGAATTACTCTATCTAATCCATACCAAGTTATTTGAACTAATCGTGATGCATTATGGGAATGGTCCGGGAGACATTTTTTCTGCTCGAACAGCCATAGAGCCTGCTAGCTTTTACAGATTTTCCTCAGTAGACCCAGTTTCATGTTGCCATAACAAAACTGCCCAGTATATGAGGGGAGTTCACTGCTGGAGAGCTCAGCAGTGAATGAGTTAACATCACATTTTTCTTACAGGCTGTCCCCACAGCAGCCAAACATGTTGGAGATATTTGAATTTATGATCCAAGATTTGTGTTTGATGGTGTCAACGAATTAAATAGATAAACACTGATTAAACAATTAAGAAGATTGCCAGTGGACAGAACAACTGTTTCATCTACTGCTCTCCCCTTGACAGTGCAGACAATTTTACTGACAATATATATATATACAGTTAAAAATGCCTAAGGCATTCACCCACTGTTGAGGACAAAAGCCGCCACTCAGAAAGGTGACCCTCTTACACAGTGTCCATACAATGTAAAAAAGCTGGGGGTTTTTAAGCAAAAAGGGGGGGGGGAGAGAACTGAGAATTGGAAGTGACTGTTTGTCATTTGTACAGATGATTGCTTTGCGGTCATTAGAAAAGCAGGTTGCACTGTACTTGTTTTTTAAATGAAGCTTGTTCCATCTGAACTAAAAGATGTACATCATAATAATATTGGTGCATTCAGAGCTATGAAACTCACCTACTGCTCTCCCCTTGTCGTTACAGAGGATGTTGGTGACAGGTGCCTGCACGAGAACGCGGCCGCCGTGTTTCTGGATGACGTCACACATGTAGAAGGCAATCTCGGACGTGCCAGCCACTGGGTAGTAGGCACCGCTTATGTAGTGTGTGATCAGCACCGAGTGCATGAGGAAGGGGACGTCTTTTGGGACCACGCCTGCCAGGAGAGTAGGATGGGTGGGAGGTGTGAGATGATATTTTAAAAATTAATTTCTTTTTTTTTTCTTGCAGATATTTTTTTTACAACCCCATTGACAAAATTTAGAGCATATAGGAGGTGGGTTTCTGTCCCTGCTTGTCAGAGCCCACCTAGGGCTGAGCAGGATACATCATTCTAGCAAAAACACCTTGAGATCCTCAATAAAAATGTTTTCCCCACTGAGGAATTGAACTAGGGTCTCCTAAGGGTGACAACAAAATGCATTACTGCTACATAATAGACACCGGTTGAGATGACTTGAGGAACTATAGCGAGAGTAATTTGGGGCTGTGTGTGAGGCAGGGAAGGAGATCAAGAGGGTGAAAAAAGAGAGAGAGAGAGAGTGAGAGTGAGAGAGAAAGAGAGAGAGAGAGAGTGTGTGTGTGTGTGTGTGTGAGGTAGAGAAAAGGGAGGGGGCGGCGCAATATCATCCATAAACATGTGCCTCACTAACCATAATCTCCACAGATGTAGGAGAGGACGACCTTGAGCTCTTTATTGCTGGTCAGCCCGTCCAGCACTTCCTGTAGCGTCTTCTCGGTGTAGCCCTTGCGCCAGCACGCAAACACCAGCTTGTACAGGCCGCTCATCACCAGGAAACGAACCAAAAGCTTCGGCATGGCCTTCAGCATCACAATACCCAGAAAAGACTTGCTGGCATCCTGTGGTATGCAGAAAAAACAATCATGCAAGATTTACATACTCCAAGAGGGTACAGGGAAATTAATTAATGTCTAATTTACATTTTCCTAGAGAGGACACGGAAATCAATAAATGTGTTATTTACATATTCCTATTGTGTGTACAGAGTACAAAGAAAACAATGATTATGTATAATTTACTTATTCCTTAATGAGTATGCAGAAAACTATCAAGCCAAATTTATATATAACTACAGAGCACAAGAAAATTAATGAAGGTATAATTTACATATTCCTATTGAGTAGACAGAAAACAAACAAAATGAATATACACCTACAGAGCACACAGAAAACAATCATAAATGTACCAACAATAAACCAATATCTGCACACAAACTATACTTAAAGACTGATAATTAGCAGATTCTTATGGGGTTGAGGAGAGGGGGGATAACAGTGGGTCAAAGATGTGAGGACAAAAAAACACCTACCTAGTGACGCCAACTCCTAGTTTCTGGTTCATATAAAGCCATACTACAGATGTACAAAAATTGCAGCGGCCGCCTACAAAACTAACTCCATGAGCTAAAATATAAAAAGGGACATGAGACTTACATAGATAAGATTTATGTATTGGTCAATGGCCTCTGTGTCCTTGGGGAACATGTCTTTCAGATTCTGGATGTAGCGTTCTTTGCCGGACACCATCTTGTACATCTTGGCCTTGCTGGGCGGCCCGATTGCCACCTGTAGATGGAGGAAGAGAGAGAGAGAGAGAGAGAGTTATCCCAGCATCAAGGTTACTATTTCGCTACCCTAGAACTACAACGTCCTATCTGCTCAGCACCTGGTTGTGAGAAAAAATCTTACAATTTTGATAGAGCAGATGGAATATTTGGTTTCTGACTTCATGGTTTTTACTACTTTATTTTACTTTTCCAATCCAGCGGCCATTTCGGTTCTAGCCCTTCGGCATGTCGATATGGCAAAGAATTTACAGGTTTTAATTAGCTGTGTCGCTGTATAGAATATTTCCGATGTCTGGGAAGGCGGGTAGGTAGGTGGTTTTAGTAACTCAAAACTGACAAAAATGTCTGACAGAAGTTTGGAATTCTCTGGTAGTGATTTTTCACACTGAGAATTTAAGGATGGCAGAGAGCTACTCCGGTGTAACACTTTGAGGTGTGGAGTCTTTTCGAATTTCGCCAAGATAAGCCTTCTCGTCTCTCTAGCTTTCAAATGTCAAGAAGTTTTTAAAATAAACAAAAAGCATACGAACTCCCTGGTTCCTTCTTACTGCTGTCTTTCAGCCACACCCCTGATCTTAGGGAAGGTGGGAAGATCAAACAACTAGCCTTCTCGGGCAAAAAACTTGGAGGTCCTGGACGGTCCTAAAATTTATTAGAGTAGGCTTCGGCAGCTACCTGGGCAATATTCTAAATTACTTCTTACGAAAACTGAAAATATTTTGGTCAGTATAATAACAAAAACAATAGGCCCTACCGTTGAAATCTGAACGTAGCTGCCTGAAGGCAAAGGGCACTACAAAGAAGGAAAAGCAGTCATATACATAAAAAATCAGTCGCACTGCACGTTAGAGCTAGAGTCTGCTCGATTAATCGAAGGCTTGCGAGCAGTGGACGGCTTGCTCTAGAGGCTTGTGAGCAGGCTTGTGCTTTGCTTTGCCTCCCGCTCGCTACCGGGGGGAACTTCCGGTGAGTTGTGACTCGTTGACAGTCTTGCTGTACTGTGTCGTGACGTCGCAAACTCTCGTGGCTGTGGGCTCAGTACATAATATTACAGAAGATTCTGGTTATTTGCTTTGAAAGGCTTGCACCAAAAGTGCAAGATTGTTTTTTTCCATAGTCGGGTTGCAAAAAATAAAAAGCTCTATTCAAAGCACTTAAAAATTAATAATAGATCGGCTATTCTTACGATGCAAAGGTCGGTTTGTTTTTAATGTGCACGGGCCAAGTGCTTCGTCATCGCACGCAAAAGACCTCAGTTCGATTCCCGTATGGGGAGATATTTTTACTGATAACCTCCATCTTTCTGCTGGGGCGTTGTTCCCTCTAAGCCCAGGTTGGCCCAGATATTGGGTTGAAGTAGGCCTAGTCCGTCTCCTAAATGCTCTGTGTTATGTCACTGTGAGTGTAAAACATCTACAAAATACGTTACATACATACAAAAGCCAATCACAACAATCCTTGGAATTTTTCATTCTTGGGTAATATAAGTCTACTTATTAGAACCAGAAACTTAGGTCTCTGTTACTACAATACCACGCTACCTCTCACTTATCCACTTGCTCAGCTGATCAACGGCAGGAAGTTAAAAATAGCTTCAGCCCGCTAGGTCTCGCACCAAAACAGGCACAGCTTCTCCCTTCCTCCAAGGTTCATAGTTCACACTGAGAGCGGTCTAGTTGCTCGCTGCAGCAGCAAGTCAGCCAACTGGCTTGCCAAGTTGCGAGCAGGTCCTGGGAGCCAAAGCAAATCATGGACAATGGGATGCAAAGCAAATCATGGGACTTGCAGTGCTGAGAGCGAGATTTGAGACTTGACGGCCGTCCGCTGCTCGCAAGCCTTCGATTAACCGAGCAGACTCCAGCGCTACACTGCGCAGTGACACTGTGAGTGTGAGCGGGATCTCTCTCTCTCTCCCGCTCTCTCTTTTTCTGACGTAAGAGGCTTCGCAGATAGCAAGCAGGGTGGGTAGGATGAGGGGGTCTGACACAAGTGGCTTCGCAGATTGCTTGTTGGTGTGGACTTGAAGCTTATGCTAGACTCAACTTATCATGCTGGTGATTTGATTTGACGATTAGACCTCATGATTTTAGGCTTGTGACTTGAAACTAGGGGCTTGCAAGCACGCGCGGGTTTGCTACCGGGGTACAGGTCTACTGCAGGTTGAAGAACCAGCAGTCTACTACACTCGAGACCTAGCAGAGGAACGCGAAGAAAAGCAAGGGTGCCTACAGTGACAAGAGGATCTCAAACCCATTTAACTCAGACTGGCAAGACCGAATAAAGTTATCTCCCCACTAACAGGGAGGGTCACGAGGTTACAACACCCAAAGGCAGAAACCCCAGCATGTGACTTACAGTGTCAAATGCGTCATCCATCTTGTTCCATCGCAGCTGACCGCCGGTCAGTTGATCCAGCAGTGATTTGTTGTCCGAGCCCTCATGGACATTACCAATGTAGTGAATGCCTGATGAAAGGGAGAGAGAGAGAGTAAGAGAGAGATACTTATAGAGCCGCGGACTAAAAACCTCTTTGTTGAAAGCATTTCCTAATAAAAAAAGCTATACCTGTCAGTTCATCATGGAATAGCTAATTGGAGTCATAAGAGACACTGACATAAAATGCATCTTACTAGAACATAAAATGCAACAAAAAAAAACCCCACTACAACCCCAGGCACCAAAGAGTGGGAGTGAAAAGTTTTAACTCACATTCAATACCCTTCTCCACAGACAGTAATATATTTCACCTCTTATCAATGGCACCCTCTAACAACCTGCTGCAGTGGACAACCCACTTGTGTATAATCTCAAATCCCTTCCCCGTTAACTGTAAATATCTAAAGCCCTGTCAACGGCACCCTCCAACCCCCCAAGTCAACTGGACGTCCTACCTTTGTCAAACTCAAATCCCTTCTCCATGGACAGTAAAATATTTAACGTCCTATCATAATAATCAATGGAACCCTCCAACCACCCACTCAACTGTAACAAAAGGTCCTACCTGTGTTAAACTCAAATCCCTTCCCCAGGCACCCACACAGGTGGATGACCTACCTGTGTCAAACTCAAAACCTTTCTCCACAAAGGAGTGACAACATCCCCCGGCCTGGTCATGCTGCTCCAGCACCAGCACCTTCTTCCCCACTCGGGACAACAACACGCCTGTGGTCAGCCCGCCGATACCGCTGCCGATCACGATAGCGTCCAGCTTCTCTGGCACTTTGCTTGTCTTGAATTCTGCCAAAAGATTAAAAACAAGAAATCGTTACAATAATATGTATGTCAGGGTGGGAAAATCAGGTGGTCGTCTTGAATTCTGCAATTAGTTTCGAATTAGTAAGTACAGCACTTGCAAAACAATGCTCACCCCAGTTACTTCCCATCTAGAAGTTGTCACTCCAATATCGCTTGATCTTTTTCAAGAACCAGAACTTAACTGACCACTCAATGCTGTCACAACGCAGAGAATCGGGGAGGCACAGCATAACAGATTTTGTTTGTTTGAGAAAAGAGAAGCACATCGACACAATAATGGTCATTTAGTGTTGTGAAAAGCTAAAATGGACACTGAGGCAGATAGAGACAACAGAGGGAAAGTTAAGAAGCAGGACCTACCAGTGGCACCCCCCCCCCCCCAAAAAAAAAACCCACCCGCACACGTCAGACAGAAATGAAAGTAGTTGCAGTACATGCAGATATCAGCAACATACTCAGCCCAGGGGCACAGCGAAATTGTCATGAGGGAAATTCTTTTGATTTAATTCAGCACTCGAATAATGAAAAAGTCTTGTGCGTACTTTTAGGTACTTCCCCGTCTTACAAACTAGTGAACATGTGAAATGGTAAAGAGGTTAAACGCCCGATTTTAACGTCAAAGGCGAAAGGACTGAGCCAATAAATGGGAAATTTGTGTAAAGTGCCTTTCCCAAGGACATGACGTCGGACCGAGCTGAGGCTCAAACTTCTGAACCTGCAATCTCCCGATTAATTATGGGTCAGGTATCTTAACCACCAGACTAGCGACACCGCCTACAAATTAGTCTTTGCGTCTGTTATAAAATATGTTACTGGGCTAGGGACGACCATCCCCAATCTGGTGGGTTCCAGGTGGTGGATAATTTGTTTGTTTGTTTTAGTTAGTGTTTTACGGCACTTGCAACACAATAAGGTCATAAGTGCCGAAGATTAGAGCTGTTTCAAGAGAGTAACAAACACAAAAAAGGATGATAGATGTTTGGTAGGAAAAAAAGGAGCCGACCACACTAGATCACCCGACAACCACCCACCCGTGTGGCGGATTTATGGAACGGCAACTGTAATGGATGTTAGCTGTGAATAATATATTAAGTTGAATAAGCAGCCCTGGAGCAACTGGCGATGCTCTTACCAGGACGGGATGAGGTGGTAGGTGGCACCACCACGTCATTAAATGCTCTAGGGGTCCGCTGACAGGAGCACACTGCGGTAAAGGACCGCATTAAATCCTAGCACCTGTGGGATTCGATAACAATCCTCCCTATGCTCTCACGGTAGGTACTAGGACCTGGAGTGCTGAAATCGGAGGTATTGGGCCGCAAGGCGCCCTCTAGAGAACCACAATACTACGTTTTCGTAAGAGATTTACAGCACTTGCAACACAATAAGGTCATATAAGTGCCCAAGAGAAGGGTTTAGTTTAGTTTTAGTTAGGTTTTATGGCACTCACAACTGCATAAGGTCAAATGAGTGCCAAGGGGCGGATGACAAAGTAGAAGTCCAAACGGGGAAACAGGCTTACTCTGCTCACCTCTCTAGCCCCAACAGTACAAAATCTGCTTCGACTATGAAGGCACCCCGGAAATAGCAGTTCACAAGAGAGTGACAAACATACAAAAGAAGTACAGGGAAAATGACGATAGTAAGGATAAGGAAAGAAAAAGCAGCAGTTCCTCCTATTTTGTTCCGCCCGGCACAGGGTGAGCATGACATTGATAATCAGCGCATTTACTACTCTACTGTGCATAAGAACATGTTGATATACCCCCCTTCGGGAATGGATTAAAGACAACTTTGGTCAGCAGCACAGCCCTGGTGGTGGGAGGGGAGACGGTTAGAGGTGTTAGAAGGGAGTAACAAACACAAAAAAGGAGGAGAGATAAAAATGGCAGATAATTGATAGGAAAAAGGAGCAAACCACACTAGAGCACCCTCCAACCACCCACACAATACCACGTAATACTGCAAAAATGGCACTGAAGTCGGTACAACTAGATATGGTGCTCGCCCTGGGAGGACC